TTTTAATGGAACCACACAAACTGATCCTGAATTTTCCATATAGCTTAATGGTTTAATAACAACTAAGACAAGCAGAGTGGGAGAAGAGTGAGGGACAATTAGAAAATCTTTTCCAGGTCTATATAAAGGCATAGTACTTGTAGCAAGGAGGGGAACACATTAGAGAGCCCAGGAATATATCCAAGCAGAAAGGAAGCCTGAATTCAGCATCAGGGCAACATTACAAAGTGCAAGTGGAGGTGGGAGGGGCTCTACCATATAGCATAAAATAAGAATTCCAGACTGATTAGAGACCTATGCATAAAAAGATCACTTCAATTATTGGTAATGACTTTGAGCACCTTTATAACCAGAACAGAACAGACTATAAGGAAAAACACTGATGAAATTTCATATTAAAACAGAAAAATTTTTAAATGTGAAAATTTTAACACAAAAAGACAAGTCAAGACAAGTAACAAGCTGAGAAGTACTTACAGCATATGCAACACAGGGATTAGAACCCATGATATACATTACATATATAATAATAGACTTGGTGATATAATATATACACTATATTTTTTATAATACACAACCAATACCTAAAGGCAAACAACACACCCACACACACACACACAATGGGCAAAGAGTGAATAAACCATAAGAGCTCTGAAAACAAAAAGATTTTCATGGCATCAAAGCTCACCGAGGTCACTTTTGGCGCTCTTTCCACCTGCTGAGTGTATCCTAATCCTTCCGGTGTGGCACTCACACCTTTGCCTCTGACCTTTCTGGGGCTTATGGCAGAGATACCTGCACTATAGCACATTTTTAAGTCAGGAGTGTTACACCAAGGATCCTGTTTGTAGCTATATCCCAGGGCTGATGTTAGGATGGAGGTAATAAACCCAAAACACTTAGTACAGAAAACAAGCGGTAATTCAAGTTGTTAGTGAGTTAACTAGCCACTTAGTCTGAGAATGGGAGTCTCAACCAGGAGAAAGTTCAGAGACTGCTTCTCAACCAGTAGCTGGGTGTGATTGGTACACAACTGTCATCTTAGCTTTGTGGTAGGCTGAGATGGAGAGGGTTGTGGTTCCAGGCTAGCCTGGGCAAGAAAGTCCATGAGATTCTGTTTCAGTAGAAGAAATATGGGTGTGCTGGCACATGCCTATCATACCAGCTACAATAGGGAGGCTAAAACAGGCAGATGTGGTTCAGGTGCCATCTGGTATCTCAAAAAAATAACCAGTGCAGGAAAGGCCTAGCTCAGTACTGTGCGGGGGGGAAAAAAAACTCAAAACTCAAAACAGAATCTTACAACCATCATTTTGGCAAAATAATTTTAAGTATGATAACTCAACATATGTTATAATACTTAGATACCATATGCAACAATAAATGAAGTTAGAACCATGTTCAATACAAAAGTTAACTTAAGGTTAGAAAAAAGAATACTTGCAAATCAGAGCTAGACATTGGTGGCTCGTGCTGGTTATCCTAGCTGGTCAGGAGGCTGAGATCTGAGAATCACGATCCAGAGCAAGCCTGGGCAAGAAAGACTATGAGACTCTTATCTCCAATTAACCACCAGAAACCAGAAGTGATGCTGTGGCTCAAAGTGGCAGAGTGTAGCCTTGAGCAAAACAAGCTCAGGGATACAACCCAGACCCTGAGTTCAAGCCCCACAACCAACAACAACAAAAAAGAATACTTGCATTATCATACCTGCTAATGGACTTATAATCTGAATTTTAAAAGAACTCCTAACCTAATTAAAAACTGGGGAAAAAACCTGTGCCAAAGAAGAAACAAGGATGTCAAATCATGTTCAGTATCACTAGCCACTGAGAAAGGCAGGCCCCGCCCTGCCACATAAGGCTGTGGCGTGACTGGTATGCATTTGTAGCTGGTAGGCTGTAGAGTGGTGCACTGTGCCACCCTTTTGAAGAACAGCTTGCCAGCAGCTCACAAAGCTCAACAGACACTGGGCACACAACTCAGCAGGTATTACACAAGACAACGACGAAGACACTCATCTGCACAAAAACTAGTACAGCAATACTCACAGCAGCCATGTTTGTCACAGCTTAACCAAATGCTCACCAACTGAGCAACACACACATGGATAAGCACACAGTAGAATACTCACTACCCAGACAACAGAAAAAGAATCAACTGCTGATACATGCTGCAACATAGATGGATGCAAAAATAACTGTGACAAATAAAAGAGGCCAGGCTCCTTCCCCCAAACAGTGAACACTACGCTGTGATTCAATTCACACTCAATTGCAGCACAGTCTCAAGAAGCACAGAGCATGGGGTGGGGCATCATGGAGGTGGAGTGTGGGATTGGCAGGGCACAGAGCCTTTTGAAGGAGGGGAGTGTCTCCTCCGTCCTCACTGTGGTTGGCATAGAGTTGTGGGGAGACAGATGCGTCTCCTCCTGGGAGTCTACAGCTGCGGCCTCCCGAGGCCTGGCAGGTCCTGTCTTTGTGGATAAAATGTTATTGAACACATGTAGAGAGGTCAGCTTGCACAGCTCTCACACACCAGCTGGGCTGAGTCTCGGCAATAGCGACCACATGGTTCAAAGCCTACAATACAGATTATCAGGCCCCTGAAGAAAATTTTTGCTGATTCCTGCTCAGAGACACAGACTCTTGCACAGCAGGAGACATGGAAATGGGGAGTAAGGGGTGGAATCAAACACAAAGATAGAATTATCTTCCTAAAATAATTTAAGTACGATACTTCAACAAGTAATGTGTGACATTATTTGTTGGAGGAGCCTAGGGAAGCCCTATTGTAACAATAAATGGCTCAAGGAACTAAATGTTCATCAGGGAAGGGAATAATGAAATACAAATCTTCAATTAAAATGAATACACTTGGGGCTGGGAAAGTGGCTCAGTGGTAGAGCGCTTGCCTTGCATACCTGAGGCCCTGGGTTCGATGCCTCAGCACCGCATGAGCAAAAAACAAAAAAGCCAGAAGTGGTGCTATGGCTCAAGTGGTAGAGTGCTAGTCTTGAGCTTGAAGAGCTGAGGGATGGCGCCCAGGCCCAGAGTTCAGGCCCCACAACCTGACCTCAAAAAAATAAAAAATAAAAAAATAAAATAAAATGAATACACTTGACACACAGGTATCAGAACAAGGAGAGCCTCAGACATGTTTCCTGAGGAAGGCAGCTTGCTTAACATGTCAACAACACAATACTATGTCCATGTACAAGGAGGGACATACCAAACTCATGCAGTGGCTTCTCTCAGGGGAACAGGACTGAACAGGGGCAAAAAACACTGTGATTTTTTCTGTATATTTTTATTTCTTTATCTTAAAAATACTGAACTAAAAAATGTTTGACCAGTAAGGTAAACTTAAGTCTCATGTTTATGGATGTCTTCAGAAAACTTCAGAGACTTGTTTACCCAATTGTAGCACATATCGCCTCTGACTTGCAGTGCACACCCGAAGTGTGAAACTTTCCGAAGTGACAAACAGTCACCAAAAACATTTTCTCCTTCCATCTTCTGGAGTGAAAAGATCTGCCAATCTGAAAGGTACTCTTCAGAGACAGTTGGAGACACAGTCCCAGTATTCTCTGTATGAAAAACAGAGCTGTAAAATGTAAACCAACAGGAGTTTCGAAAGTACCCTCATAGAAGGTACATCCCCAGGACAATGCTTGTGCATGTGAAAACGACTAGTGAAATTCCACAACAGGACATGGATCTCAGAGAGCATTTCTCCTTCAGAAGAACAAAAACTCCTTGGCTGGCAGCGAAGCTTCAGAGACCAACTTCTCTGTCTACTTATTATGGGTAAAAGGTTCCCTCTAATGTTAAATTTCAACCTTACAGTTCTTGTGGGCTAGTGAAGGTCCTATCTTTGTGACAGGCCAGTACATTTTAAGCAGAATTATCTAAAATGAACAATTATTAATTCAGCTGGGGAAAAATAGGTGTGTGCATACACCCTGACATATAAAATTTTTTTTGAATTAATGACTGATAAAGCTAATGTCCAAGAACGTTTTTCTGTTAAAAAAAATTCTTTGCTGGTCCCCGGTAGCTCACGTCTGTAAACCTAGCTACTCAGGAAGCTGAGATCTGAGGATTACAGTTCAAAGACAGCCTGGGAAGGAAAATCTGTGATACTCATCTCCAATAAACCACCAAAAAACCAGAAGTGGCACTGTGGCTCAAGTGGTAGAGCGCTCACCTTGAGCTGAAGAGCTCAAGGACAGCACCAAGGGCCAGAGTTCAAGCCCCAGGACCAACAACAATAAAAAAATTATTTTACTTTTTTTTTTTTTTTTTTGCTTATGTGGTGCTGAGGAATCGAACTCAGGGCCTCATGCATTGCAAGGCAAGCGCTCTACCACTGAGCCACCTTCCCAGCCCATTTTACTTTTTTTTTTTTTTTGCCAGTCCTGGGGCTTGAACCCAAGGCCTGGTACTGTTCCTAGGCTTCTTTTGCTCAAGGTTAGCACTTTAGCACCTGAACCACAGCACCACTTCTGGCCTTTTCTGTTTATGTAGTACTGAGGACCTGAACCTAGGTCTTGCTGCAGGCTAGGCAAGCTCTCTACCACAAAGCCACATTCTTTTAAAATTCTTCCTGATTCCAGCAGCTCTAAGAGAAACCTAACTGTGGCATAAAGGACAATGACGGATGGGAAGCATGGGCCCACCAAAACTACCATGCACACAACCATCAGAAGACCAGGCATGAACAAAACACATACGCAAGTGCCAGCCTTTAAGATTCCTGCTATTACTCTGCAAGCAGGGCATGGAGGAGTGGGAGAGGCCATGAGGACAAACAGAACTGGACTCCCTTGTCAAGCTGCTGCTCCACAGAACGGGTTGAATGCCAATCCACGCAGAAGAACTTCCTGATCAGAGAAACACTAGGAAGCCTAACATCTGACTGAAAGACAGCTCTCACTTTTAAAAGGGCATGTGTGAGAGAGACTGCAAAACACCAGTGTACACAGAATTGTTCCATACCTTCTCGCCAGACTTGCACGCCTGCTGCAATTTCTCATAATCTTTCTTGGTCTCCAGAATTTTTTTCACAAGGCCACCTGTTAAAAATCAGTGGTTTCATGTTAAAGCTTATTGTCTGCCTCAATGAAGCTATTTTAAATAGGTAGGAGGATGGGAGAAATACTAAATTCTTTTCTTTTACTATATTGAAAATAGTTCATAATCTTTTTTTGAGACACACAGTCCACACATTGGGATAATACAACAGCTGGCAGTGAAAATTAACTACAAAATTTCCAAATATTTCAAGGAAACAATTCTGAGTTAAAAGAGCAATGCTGGAGGTATCATAATTCCAGACTTCAAATTATACTGTAGAATCACAGGAACAAAATCAGCTAGGTACTGGCACAAAAACAGATCCAAAGATCAATGGAATAGAACACCCAGGAATACAGCTCCACAGGTATATACAGCTAATTTTCAGCAAAGAAGCTAAAAAATACACATGTGACAAAAGACAGCCTCTTCAACAAATGGTGCTAAGACATTGATCAACCTGCAGGAGAGGAAACTTGACCTCTATCTCTCACCCTGTGCAAAAATCAACTCCAATAAAAATCAATGTGAGATCTGAAACTTTAAATCTATCTACTAAGGGAAAGTACTAAAAGTTACAGGCATGGGTATTATTTTCTGAATAGGATTCCAACTGCCCAGAAAACAAGAACAAGAACTAACAAATTGAACTATATGTCATATTAAGAAGTTTCTGCATAGGAAAAGAAGTACCAGAACCAAAGGACAATTTATGAAATGGGAGAAAATCATCACCAGCTAGTCAACAGATAAAAGATTAATATAAAGAATACATGAAGGAGCCAGACACTAGTGGCTCACGCCTGTAGTCCTAGCTACTCAGGAGGCTGAAAAATGAGGATCATGGCTCGAAGCCAGCCCAGGCAGAAAAGTCTGTGAGACTTTTCTCCAATAAATGACTCAGGAAAAGCCAGAAGTGGTGCTGTGGCTCAAGTGGTAGAACACTAACCTTGAGCACAAAGAGGCTAAGAGACAGTGCCCAGGTCCTAGATTCAAGCCCTTGGACCAGAAAAGAAGAAGAAGAAGAATATACAAGGAGCTCAGAAAAATTCAACAATAAAGAACCAAATAGTTCAACTAAAAAATGGACAAATATATTGTCTGAAGTTTTCTAAAGAGTAAATACAAATTCACAAAGAAAAGCTCAATATCCTTAGCCATAAAGGAAATGTAAGTGAAAAACACACTAAGACTCCATCTCACCTAAGAGTGGCAGCCATCAAGAAAACAAGTGACTACAAATGCTAGAATATGGGGAAAAGGGGTCCCTCTTACACTGTCTGTGGAAATGTAAACTTAATAGAGCCTCTGTAAAAGTCAGTATGGAGATTCCTCAAAATACTAAAAGTAGATCTTCTCTATGACTTCACCATCCCACTGTTGAGCATCTATCTGAAAAAGGTGTACAAGACCCAATGTACAAGACCCAAGAGCCAAACAATGGAATCAGCCAGGATGCCCAAAAATAGATGAAGGGATAAAGACACAATACGTATACACCATGGAATATCACAAAGCCATATGGAAAAATGAAATCATGTCATTTGAAAAAAGTGGATGGGGACTAGGAAGGTGGCTTAGTATCTTGCATGCATGAAACCCTAGGTTCAATTCCTCAGTACCACATAAGCAAAAAAAGCCAGAAGTGGCACTGTGGCTCAAGTGGTAGAGAGCTAGCCTTGAACTGAAGAGCTTAAGGACAGCACCCAGGCCCAGAGTTCAAGCCCAACACACACACACCAAAAAAAAAAAAGAAAGAAAGAAAAGAAAAAGAAAAAAGTGGATGGAACTGGAAAACACTGAGTGAGATAAGCCAAGGTCAAAGCTTGTTTTTATTCATATGTGGAAGATAGACCAAAAATACATACATATCTGTGAGGATGTATATACATATATGTATATGTATATATAAGCTAAGTTATTTACACATTTGCACACATACAGGACATGATTCTATCTATGGGACTATTTAGGAGGATAAGGGGAAGGGAGAAGGAAAAAGAAAGTTAGAGCTAACTACTCAGGAGGCAGTTCAAAGCAAAACAGGGAAGGGAAGTACATGAGACTCTTATCTCCAACTGAAGTGGTGCTGTAGCCCAAGTAGTACAGTGCTAGCCTTGAGCAAAATGCAAGGAGCTCAAGGACAGCACCCAAGCCTAGAGTTCAAGCCTCGGGAGGGGAGGAGAGGAGAGGGAAGGGGAGGGAAGGGGAAAAGGAAAGGAAGGGGAAGGGGAAAGAGAAAGGGAAGGGGAAAGGGAAAGGAAAAGGAAAGAGAACGGAAGGGAAGGAAAGGGAGGGAAAGGGAAAGAAAAGGAAGGGGATGGATGGAGGGAGGGAGGGAAGGAGGGGAATAATTTTGAAATTTCAATGCAATTATGTATGATGACAGCATAAGGAATCTCAATTAAAGTTGTTCATCAATAGGGATTAGGGTGGAGGAAGAGAAAGTAACAGAAGGTTATTCTGAAAAAAATATAATATGTGCCTGTATTTGTGCAATTACTACACACTAAAAAATGAAAATAGTAGAAAAGTAAAACAGAAGGGCTAACAAAGAGAATGAGGATTAATAAGGATGAAGAAGTTAATTTGTATGAACAAAAATAGAAAAAGAGGGGCTGGGAAGGTGGCTCAGTGGTAGAGCACTTGCCTTGCATGCATGAGGCCCTGGGTTTGATTCCTCAGTACCACATAAACAAAAAGAAAAAGGCCGGAAGTGGCGCTGTGGCTCAAGTGGTAGAGCGCTAGCCTTGAGCTGAAGAGCTGAGGGACAGTGTCCAGGCCCAGAGTTCAGGCCCTATGACCGGATCCAAAAAGAAAGGAAGGAAGGAAGGAAGGAAGGAAGGAAGGAAGGAAGGAAGGAAGGAAGGAAGGAAGGAAGGAAGGAAGGAAGGAAGGAAGGAAGGAAGGAAGGAAGGAAGGAAGGAAGGAAGGAAGGAAGGAAGGAAGGAAGGAAGGAAGGAAGGGAGGGAGAGAAACCTAGTGAAATTGTTTTAGAAAGTGGGGGTGGGAGTAAAAAAATGACAGAGGGGCTGGAAATGTGGCTCAGTGGTAGAGGGCTTGCCTGGCAGCACTGGGTTCAATTCCTCAGTACCACATAAACAGAAAAAGCCTGAGTAGTGCTGTGACTTAAGTGATAAAATGCTAGCCTTGAACAAAAGAAGCTCAAGGACAGTGCCCAGGCCCTGAGGTTCAAGCCCCAGGACTGTTAAAAAATTTTTAAAAAGAGAAAAAAGAGAAAGAAATGCTAGAAGCTGACAGGGATACATCATATAATGTGTGGAAATTCACAATAAAACTACCTTGTGCTACTAATGTATGCTAATTTTTAAAAATTGAAGCAAGTTGCTGGTGGCTACACCTGTAATCCTAGGTATGCAGGAGGCTGAGATCTGAGGATCAAGGTTTGAAACCAGCCCATATCTTAGTCTAAGACTAAGATATAAGAATCTCCAATTAACCACCAAAAGGTATGTTCAAAATGCAGGTATGGCTCAAATGGTAGAGTACCAGTCATGAGCTTAAAAAAAAAAAGCCAAGCAAGAGCATGAGAATCTCAGTTCACCTCACCCTAGTTAGAATGGCTATAATCAAGAACTGTAATAACCACAGATGCTAGAGGGGATGTGGCCAGAAGGGAACCCTACTGCATTGATGGTAGGAGTGTAAACTTGTTCAACCACTTTGGAAAGTAGTATGGAAGTTCCTCAAAAGACTCCACATAGAGCTCCCCTATGACTCAGCAACCCAGTTTTGAGCATTTACCCAAATGATCACAAACAAGACCATACTAAAGGGACCAGCACAACTGTTTACTGCAGCATTATTTATCATAGCTAAGATATGGAACCAACCCAGATGCCCCTCAGTAGATGAATGGATCAAGAAAATGAAGTATATATACACAACGGAATTCTATGCCTCCATCAGAAAGAATGACATTGTCCCATGTTAGGAAATCGAAAGACTTGGAAAAAATTATATTAAGTGAAGTAAGCCAGGCCCAAAGAAACATAGGTCCAATGGTTTCCTTATTTGCAATAACTAGTGTATGTTTGGGACAAGCAGAAAATGTCAGATAAGATGTTAAGCGAAATGAACCCCAAGATAGGGACACAAGTGGTTTTTTTCTTTCTTGCTATAGTTTCTAATATATTTATAAGGTACCATGTGATTTTTTTGTTGCTTTCTATGTCCTTCCCCCACAGTATAACCCCTGTCTTCACTGTATTTGATGTTGGTGTAATTTGGGGAGGGGAAGGGAAAAAACAAATTGTTTAAACAGGGATATAGGTTGACCCATTGCAACAATGAGATGGACAAGACGCTATGTTGAAAACCGAACTTTACAATTTAGGAGGGGGGGGACAAGGGAGGAGTGTAGTTGAGGAGGTGGGAGGGAAGGGATGGTAGGGGAAAAACAAAGGAGGAGACCACAATGCTTGATAAGAAATGTACTCATCTTGCTCATGTAACTGTAACCCCTCTGTACAGTATTTTCACAATAAAAAAAACATTAAAAAAATGCAGGTATGGCTCAAATGGTAGAGTGCCAGTCATGAGCTAAAAAAAAAAAAGCCAAGCAAGAGCATAAGACCTTGAATTCAAATCCCAGTACTAACACTCAAAAAATAATTAAACATAAAAAATACTGTTTAGGGGGGACCAAGATGGCGACGGGGCAGTAGGGAAACACCACAGCTCTCTCCAACCAAAAAGAGAGTTCGAGTTCCAACCTTTAATCTCCCCAAGAGACCGACAACAACAAAAAGACGAACACTCAGAGAAAAACCAGAGGTGGAAAATAACAAAAAAAAGAAAGAGAGGAAAAGAAGAATTTCAGAACAGAGAAGAGCGAAGACCCCTCCCCCAACCTTTACTGGCCGCGCGGCAGTGCGCCAAGCCGCCGGCCAGCCGGCCCGGCGGGGGCTGCCGGAGCCACAGAGACACAGGGGGCTGCTTGCAGATCACCAGGTACCCGATTGCAGAACAGCGGATC